GGGAATATGGGGAAGGTTTGTCACAAAGGTTTGTGACTGTTGCTTTTGAGCAGTTTTGGGCAGTCATTTGATCCAGCAATGGTGATTAATCTACGATGCAGTTGTTTGCTGATTATCTGAAAATTAAGTTTTCAAAATAACAGATCTCAGACTCACAGAAGGAAAATAGTCATCATGGCATCTAGGTGGTTTCCCAAACTGAGAAAACTTGTTTCAGTTGTTTCTTTACTAATGTTTCAGTGCAGCTTTCTTACCCTTTTCTCAGAGACTTTGTGATGTTAGCTTTGCTTTTCCTGTTTGCTTCTATTATTTAATCCATAATTTAATAATACATATGCTGGAAGGAAGCTATTACAAAAGCAATTCAAAGGCTTATGTTAACTTGGAAAAACAGCACAACAGCAAGAACTTTTTTCCCTCCACAGCAATATTCCAGGTGGTATCATATCAGAATTTTCTACAACTACTTCCAAGGAGAAAACTGCTCTGCAATATCTTCCAGTATCACAGTATCTTGAGTAGTAGCTTCCCTTTCACACAAAAGGAGCTACACAAAGTAGAAGCAAACCAACATCTCTGTAGGGAAGGAGCAGGAAGAAAAGGTTGGGAAAATGTATACTTTCCCAGGACTGGAGTAGGATTTTAAATTCCAGTCTAGATGCTGAATTTTAAAATCTCTTTCTAGTCCTGAAGTACTGGTGAACATTGAGCAGATCACTGGACCCACTGTGGAAAGAGTTTTAGCCTTTCCTGCTTTTCATAAAGGTGGTTCAAAAGGCCTATCAAAATACTTTGAGAACATCAAGTGAATAGAGCTACACAAAACATCATTAATAGCAGGAAAACTTGACAAATTAACTCCAGCCTTCACCACAAACATTATTCTGAAAGAAGATAGTATCTCTGAGCTAAAAAGTTGACTAGGATGTATCTTTACCCCTTATGAAGCAGTTTTTCCAGCAGCTTTGTCATCCACAATACCAAGGTCTCTGTAAATATAATATAAAATATATAAATAAATATAAAAATAGAATGAAAACGCCTCACATCCTCAAACTTTTATGATAACTGACAATGTAAGAAACTTTTTTTTATGTATATATATATATATAAATTCCCTGCATTTCAAAGTCTGAGGATTTGGGATGCCTTTATTATGTTTCTGAACATATACATATATATATATATATATATTTCTTTATTTATTTATTTATTTATTTATTTATTTATAACCCATGCTGCACAGATGAAAAGAAATCTGCAATTGAATTCAATTTACAGCTCCCAGATCATGCAGCCTCCCTGACTCATCCAAGCCACTCTGTTGTATCAGAACTGCCAGCATCACACTGAGACAGTGTGAAATAAAATATGGTAAATATGTTCACAGTGTGTGACATCAGGGATGATATGAGCAGTCATGAAAAACACTTCTCATGGTGAAATGCCATGATGCAGTTCATTAGCTTGGAAGCAGACATATATTGCTGCTGCTAGTGGTACTGCCTCTGCCATACCTGTTTTTTGTATGGAGGATTTCAGGGCTCAGTATTACACACTCAGCTTCCTTCACCAGCCCAAAATGCAAAGCTTTACTTCTGGCCATAGTCCTGAGTAATATGACATGGAATCTCTCCTATGCATCTAAATGGTGGATTGCTGTGAGATAAAACCCTCACATGCTCGTTCTGCCCTCAAAGTGGGGTAAAACCTGGCTACCCATGAGCCAGTCCTTTGCAGACACGGGAACTTAAACAGCACAAATACTGCAATAAAACCACATGACACTACTTTCATGCAACTCAGTTTTGTAGAAACAGATCTAGTTGTACTGTCACTGACCAAGCATGAACCCTCACTTTTCTCTTTGCAGCTCTAGCATCTTTGTTTTTGCCAAATAATAAATTAAGCTTTACCATTCTTTCTCCTATTTTAGTATAGAGCTTGGGCTGGCTACTGTTATTTATTCAAATAATACTTCTGCATCTGTGATTTTAGTTCAAAGCACTGAAATCTTTCTGCATTTCATGCCTGTGTCACAGCATGGCAAGAGAACACTACAGCATTTCTCCTAATGCTCCAAAGCACTAATAACACCTGCATCACTAAGTAATGGTGCATCTAGTACCTTAAGCAGGACAGAAACACAGAATAATTCAAGTTGGAAAGAAGATTCCTCTTTAGTCAAAACTGTGTTAAAAACTGAGTTAACCCCAAAGTTAGGCCAGGGGGGCAGGGTATCAAGAATAATCACTTATATCTGTCACCACTGGGCAGGACAGAAATTAATTTTTTTATGTGGTTTAAATGTAACGTTCCTTAGAGCTGATGGAACAATTACTACACAATATAGATTACACAGCAAGGAACTAATAATGAAAGATTGATCTTAGCACCTCATATTTACTACTTCATTGACACTTTCTGCTTTTCCAGACTGGATATGCAAGGCTGATATTTTTCAAGTCAAATTAAAAGGTAGGTAATTTCAGAGAGACACTGATTTTTAAATACCAGGTTCTTCTTGCAGTGCAAACTGGAGCAGAAGACAACCAAAGACACCAAGCTGCAGGTTAGTTTGCAGCTCAAAAGCACTGGCTCTTGAACTGTTGCGCTTGATTCAGTGGCCAGAACAGAATCAGACTGGCCAGGACATGTCTAAACTGCCACAACTGCTACAGGGAGTTGTTGTTCCACATCTGCTGTGTTCACTGTCTTCCCTGCATAGCAGCCAAACCACTTCTTGATCACAGTGCAGCATGGAAGTGCCCCTCTACCACTAACTGGGATCAGGCAGGGTAGACTGTATGTTAGAAGTGAAAACGGACACCTCAAAGCTTCACACATATGTCAAAGGTAGGCAAAGACTGCCTAGTCTCCATAGAACCTTCCTTCCACCTTCTCCTTCCCTCTTGCCTGTAATTTTGCGGATTGTGTAAGAACTTTGTTACAAGCAATGGTTCTTATAAAGGGTTATGTGAGGTGAGGATCATATGTACATGAGAATGTGGTTCTTCATGCTAAAACTTCTTCCAGAATGCCTCTTAGGCATCGACAGCAGTGTGCAGCATTCCCTGATGTGACTGTATGTTTAAGGAAGTAAGAGAGGAAAAAATACACTATTGAGTTATCTGAAAAACTCGTGTGAGATTGTGCAGCTCATGCACTCTGGTGCTTATCAGACAACTATGAGGGTTTTTAATCTTAAATTTCCTTTCTCTTAAGAGAATTGTGTACCTGTCTCCCCCACTGGTACCTAAGATCTAGAGGAGGGCAGCTGAAGGAAAAGGGTCTTCTCTGCCATCTCCATAGTCCCCTCCCCAGGCATCTGGGGCTGCTGCAGCTGGAGATGAGGCACTGAGTCACACCAGCAGCTCTCACCATGTCTGGTGCATGAGGATCTGCACTGGCTATGAGCACAGACAACTGAGATGTTGCTGCACCGCTCAGGAAAAGAGCCAACCACCACCCACAGTTTTGGTGAACAAGGCTCTGCTACAAGAAAAGCTATTAGCTAAAGGCACAAAAGCATCTGGCTGATGAAGCTGGAGGCAGTTATAAGTCCTGAGGTTTCTTAGTAAATGCACCTGTCTCCTGGGATGCTTATGGTCCTGCAAAAAAATGACCAGACAGGATGGATTTGGAGATCCCTAGAGAGGAACAAGTCCAGTTACTATCACAGGTCTTTCTGTCAGTACCAGCAACAGAATAAATGCTCATAAACTTTCTTTTCTTTTCTTTTCTTTTCTTTTCTTTTCTTTTCTTTTCTTTTCTTTTCTTTTCTTTTCTTTTCTTTTCCTTTTTTTCTGTGCATGGTCCAAATGTGGAAGAGAGGTCGTAAAAAGATTTGAGAAGAACCTTGCAGCAAGAAACAGTCTTTGGATTTCATTAAAAGAGACGGAATCTGAATCTGGAACTGTTCCAAGGGTTACACATTTTATTAGTAACACAGCAGAGGCAACGTAGGCATATGTAGATTAATATTAGATTGACTTTGGACTGTTTTACCTATTAAAACATGCTCAAGTCCCAGAGTTTTCAATAGGTCAAGTACACCGTTAAGTAAAGAACACCATTCCAGACTTTCCTGAAAAGAGTGAGTTCCTGATAAAGAAATTGCCTAAGGGTGTTGCATACAAACACTTTCCAAGTGGCAAGTCACGTTTTGAATTTGCAACACAGCAGTTCCTCAGCAGCAGCCTTGTATTCCTAGCCCAGGATAAAATCAAGGTAGCTTCAAGGCCCTCACTCAAAGATTTCAGTAGGGTCTGGTCACGCATGAAGCTTTTCTCATTGTAACTTGCTTATGTGCTTTATCCTCAAATTAAAATATCTGCTGAGTCCACAGTTTCACAGAGCTCACAGACAGTCATAGCAAAATCACTTCTGCTTGGAGGAAGCCAATGCCTTACTTCTCAGGGTGGGCTGTTTCCACGTCAAGACAGAGTCTCAGTAATTTGGGCTCCACCTTCCCTCCAACCAAACCAGCTTAAAATTTCTAAAGGTGTTTTTTCAACAGGAGCAGTGAATTCCCTCACCTTGCCAATTCTCTTCTTTCTAGGCATTGGCAGAATCATGACATACACATTTAGGAAAAAGAATGACTACACACACACAGAGGATCACATTTGATTGCATGTAACTAATGTTGGAAAATGGCAACTTCAAATAGAGCTTTAATTTCAAATAAAGTAGTTTTCAAACTTAATCGCTGTCTGGAAGATGAAAGTGGGATGTCTGTGACAGTTGTACTATGACATGTAGCTTGCTGTGCACAGTAGCTCTGCAGTGAAGGATCACAGATAGTTTGCAGTGGTGAGAAGACTGTGCTTTTAGGGACGGCAGTCTTACTGTACTTGCAGAATTCCACCTTAAAAGTAATTGGACATCTCTCTAGCTCAGAGAAGGTTTGCTAAGCAATGACACACTGCACTTGGATCTGAAAACATAACATCTGGAAGCCAAATGTTAGAGGCAATATAAAAGGGCCAGCCCAACAAACCAGAGGGGCACTTGTAAGCCAGGAACAACTTCAGGATGGACATTTTCCTTCTCTGTGTGTTCCTGCCTCTGGTGACTGTAGCATGGGGCCAGTACAGTGACTATTACTATGGTCCCTATAATTATGGAGATAATGATGAATGGGTCAATGTGTACCGGCAAGGTTTCAACTTTCAGTGCCCACATGGGCAGGTGATCGTGGCCATCAGAAGTGTCTTCAGCAAGAAGGAAGGCTCTGACAGACTGTGGAACTATGCCTGCATGCCAGCATCCCAGAGCCTCGGTGAGCCGACAGAGTGCTGGTGGGAAGAGATCAACAGGGCGGGAACTGAATGGTAGGATAACCCCCACCCACCCCTGTAGGGCACAGCCCTGGTAAACCCTGTGGAATGTGGCTCCTAATATTGTGGTCAGAGAAATGCAAATGCATATGAATGCCATGATAACCAGCAGGTTTCACTGCCTTAAGACTCTTTATTCACCATGCATTGGAGCTGATCAGCATCACATTTGTCTTCTCTGTAGCAATTTCTTGCTGGAAGGGTCACTCACAACTTCAGCTCTGAAGTGGTTTGGTGTTGCTATTGTTTTGATGATGAGGAAAATGAGTCAAGCACCTACAGTGACGAGAGCATAAAGTCCCTTTTGAAAAGTCACATTGAATCAGTGACTAAACTGGGAAACAAATTGCAAAACTCCTCACTCCATCCTCACGCTCTTATCGCTAGAAAAAATAATCTCTGTATTGCACTGGCTCTTTGCTTTGTGTTTTTGTTGCTAAGCTTTTTGGCTTAAGCATAAACAAATGCTGTTTTCTAGTTGTGCTGTTATTACAGGAGCCAAAAATCCACACTAACAAGAGATGATGGTGGCATATATATTTGCATGGTGATAGCAGAAGATCATGTGCATTCCCTAATACCATCAGTTTGCTTAACTAAATGTTGCATTTTCCAACAACCTTGGAGGCAAAAGTGATCATATTATGTGGAGACAATAATTTCTGGAAATATTTATAGCATTTCATATTTGGGCAGAATACCCAGTTTTTGATTATTTTTTGGGTTTTTTAATGAAATGGGAAAAAGAGTTTTGGACAACTCTGGGATTGAAATATTCTTTGGACAGAACAAAATACATGCAGGAATGAGTATTTTCAAATACTTGAAATAGTTTTGTCGCAGAAATTGCAATGTGATTTTTTGAATTTTGTTATATGGGAATAGGTTAGCAATGAAATGTGAAATTTCTGCTTTTTAAATGATTTAAAATTCTGTTCTGAATTATTCATACTCTTTCATTTACCATGTGATATATGCCTATGGCTGATGCAATTGCTTAGGGAAAAAATCATTGACCCCATGTTTAATTTTGGAATAAGAATTGAAAAAAAGGGGGAGCGCTGCAAAACAGGCAGAAAGAACACATTGTGATAATCCTGGATGACTTCTTAATTTTTTATACACTGATGCAATTTCTACATATTGCATAATAATTTTGAATTATACATTTCTTTTTGTTCAAAATAAACTAATTTTTCTGCTTTCTAAAAATCCCTGGCAGTAATTGTCAAGTTCACTTCTCACAAACAGGATAGTGTGTAAGTCTATACAGAACATTTTCTTCTGCTATATAACCATTCATCACTGTGCTCTGTATACTTAGCATGACTACATCCACAGTGTATTATCTGAATCTTGTTTCCTTCACCTCTTAAAAAAATCTTTTCACTTTGTCCTCTTTGTTGCCTACTTTTTTCCTATAGCAAACCCTTTATTTTCTCCAAATGCATTTATTTTTCAACAATTGTTATCTCAGTTTCTCTCCCTTTACTAGTTTTTGGAGTTATTTTAGTAATTCTTCACTAGCTTATCTTTCCAGTCCAACATCCTTACATCTCTCTGCCTACTCTGCATAGATCAACCTTCCTTCCTTCCTTCCTTCCTTCCTTCCTTCCTTCCTTCCTTCCTTCCTTCCTTCCTTCCTTCCTTCCCAAAGGTGAACTTGTGCTCCTAGTTACTTGGGCCATTCCCATGAATCCTAGCTGGCTGTGCCTGGTTAGATTTTGCAGTCTTCAGTTTTCTACCCCCAGGGCTGAGCTAGTTGTATCTACAGTGCTTCATGGAGAGAGGCTTGCAGCAGGCAAGCACATCCCTGGTTATGCCAACACTGCTGCCCAAGAGCCCAGTGACTGGAGTGAAAGTGTAGGCCAGTGTAGCCTCTAATTAATGTGATGGCACAGATATATCCTGGGGAACCTTTGAGAAACTGCCTTCTCTCTTGGCATTCTTACTTCTCAGAGGTGTCCCTTTTCTCTCTCTCTTCCCCATCCACCTTGGTGCTAAAAGCCATCCCCAGTTCTAAAAAGATTCACTCAATAATCAAGTGGGACCAAAAATGTGAGTCACCATCTGTACCAATGGCTCTTGTTTGGCCAGCTCTCTTCCCTGCTGATCTCCTAACAAACTAATCTGTTGGTGAGCAATATGTCATTCGCATGTCAGCTGACACAGCACTCTGCTGGACTTGCTAGTACATTTTCCCATCCTTGTAGGATATTCCTTCTTCAGCTCTGTCTCACAGAGTATTTTGTCTCACCTTGCACATCACATCCCATGATACTCAATTGCTTGTACCACCAGTAAGTACAAGTCTGCCAAGTTTTTGCTAAATTTTGCAGAATCAATTAGTTCTGAAAAGACTTGAAATCATTGAGTCCAACCTGTGACCGAACACTACCAGGTCAACTGAGTGTCACATCTGGTCTGTCCTTACACACTTCCAGGGATGGTAAGCTCCACCACCTGTCCAGGCTGTTGGCTGCCAGCTCTTCCAGGAGGATGCTGTGGGACCCATTGTCAAAGATTGCTATTCTGCTGCAATTGAGGCTTTTTATTCTTTTCCCTACCTTCACTGAGCAATGAGAACAAGCTTGCTGAATATTTTGTAAAATCCTTTTTACTTAATAATAGGTAGCAGCTATGCCTTTCCCTCACCCACACACCTTCATCCATGCTTTTGCTTTCAGGCTGAACATGTCTCCATTCTTCTAGTTCTCTTCTGGAGATTTTATATTCCAACAGTCCTAAGCAAGCACTGATCATACCTACAGCTCTTCTCTGAATTCCCTCTGGTTTCTCAGCCAGAAACACAAAAAAAACCCCCCACCTTTGACATATTATGTTTATGGCATGTCAAATTTCAAATGGTGATTTTCAAATGACCATTCCTGACTGCTGCACAGCTGCACAATAGAACCAAACTCAAGAGAGGTTTCTTTAGAAAAGACAATAACCAAAGAAAAGCTTAGGAGAGAAAATGAAGAAGAATTATAAAAGAGACAAGAAAGAGTCTCCAACTCATTGTTTTCTTTGGCCTTCAGTATTTGGGACAAAATGACAGAAATGGATGGGCAGACCATAGGGATAGGAGAGTTGGGAGCAAGAGAGAACCACTGGCAGAGCTTCCTGGTAAGTTTGCTTCCTTCACTAACACTAGGGATTATGTAGACTTAGAGAATCAAACCATAAAATTTAGAATCTTTCAGATATGAAAAATCTATCCAACAGAAAGAGGACAATGACATGGATCCACATTAGGCATCTAATGCCTAATAATAGTTTATGACCTTTGCCTCCTTCCAGTGTCAATGGAGAGAATAGGTACTATAAAAACTGCTCTCTGGTGCACCCCATCTCTTTCACAAGCAGACTCATGAAGACCAATCCCTTCTGACCACTACCTAGAATTACCTAGTGGCATTTCAGAATATATGTAACTATGGTGCTTCACTGCAAAAATGCATCCCTGAAGTTAATCATATATGTTCATGCACTTCTGAAGAGATTATGTGCCTTTGTGCTTTGCTGAAAGGACATAAGAAGTTTGTGAACCTGTTAGAAGACTCAAAGGGGAAATTGTGGCAATAGATTGGATCAGATGATCAGGTATGCCTTCCCAGCCTCATTAATCTGTGAATATTTTTAAAGTTAAGTATGTGTACAAAGACTGTGTTGAATCTGTTTCAACACCTTACTCCTTCAGAGTAAGGTTAACTATCTGCTAACCAAGATGATATTTAAAATAGAGGGAGCAACTGGGAGCAAGAACCAGTTCCTAGATAATTTGGAAATACTCATGTCTGGAGTAGGAAAAAGTCTCCATAGCATGACCTGGTTCTGCAGTCATTCTACTACAGAAGTCCTCGAGTCCTTTTACTCCCTCTAACTTTTATGCTGCAGTTTCTCAAAGAATCCTATCTTTTCAGGAAGCACAAATTTTATGTTCTTATCTCCTTTTGTACTGCAGAAATGTTGACCTTGTTTAAATATTTCATCACCTAAGGTCTGAATGATTCAGGATGAGACTTTTCTTCACTGCTTTGTTGAATACTACAGAGTTGTCTCTACAGACCAGTCTCTGAACAACGGTTTTAAGAAAAGCTATTTTTCTTGCCAAAAATGATCATATCAAAAGACAGGGTTCACACAAACAAAGGAACAAATTCTTGCAAGTGAAGACAAGCAATTCTTCCCTCCAGTAAAATAAGTTTGGTTTACACCACATGATACAGACGAAACTATGCCATACCCTCATTATAATCCCTGTTAGCTGTAAAGCAAAAAAGGAGAAGCATTTCCAGACAAAAGTAATTTACTCCATGTTTATTGCCTCTTTTTCTTGTCTAGACATCTGAGAAAGTGTTTAGATGGGACTTGGAAAAAACAGATGTATAGATTCTCCCTCCCCACTCCCATTCTCTCCCTCTTTTGCCCACAAACTAGGTGCAAAGGCAGACTGCTGAGCAAAGGATCCTCCTGTTCAGGCTCTGGCAGCACACCTTGGTATATCAGTAGGAACTATTTTTGTTTCCAATCTCTGACCAATCCCAAATTTCAGATCTGAGGCTGTATTACCCAAGCCCAACAATCCAGCTGCTCTTTGAAATTTTTTCCGTTTGTACTATGTACACAAACAAGTTAATTTTCTCCAGAGCCCTAAGTTTATGTTAAAGGATTAGTGCTACAAGTCCATTTAGCACAGCTGCAATGGACTGAGTCCAGAGGGAGCATCTGAGGAGAAGAGGAATGTTTCTGCAGAAAAGGAGGCCTCATCAGCTACTGTCAAGAAGAAATCACTAGGGTGAAAAGGGCCTTGCCCTCCCTTGGTCAGGGAGAAGAAAGTCATAAATGCCCCCTGAATGAAAGAAAATATTGTTGAAGATATTACAGACGTTGCCTTTGGCATGTGGCGTAACAACATATCTCAGCACCCTGCAACAGATAGGGAACACTCCTTGAAGAATTGGCTTTTGGAGATTGATGTGGCCTAATCAAACACATAAAAGTTGTTTTCCCTCTGTCTGGGGGCAAGACTCGCAAGTGTTCCGAGCCTGCCCTCAGCCTCTATGTCTGCCCATTCACCTGTAACAAGCTGACCATTGAATTAGCTCTAATCACACAATTAATCCAATTACACAGAGGGAAGGCACTCCGCAGAGATAACTCAGGAGAGCACTATAGCGCCTCTCCTCCACAGGGACATGGAATGACACTCTCATGTTACCCTGTTGTTGTTAGGAACAAATCACCCTCAATGCAGCATGACCCAGTGCCTACTGAGCTGTGTGTCAGCCTCTGCATGGCTCTAGACGGCTTCAGGGAGCATAATCCCAGTCAGTGCAGCAGAAATTCAGTGCATTCTCTAACAGCACTACTTCCTGCAGCTTAACTTGGGCTTCCCTGAGCAGATTTGCAATGAACAGGCTTCCTCTTTGGGTTCTCATCCTCAAGATAACATGGTGCTGATGTAGCTGAGGAACAGGGGGCCTCAGAGGGAGACTTCCCACACAGCACCAGCATTAGATGGGGCACAACATTCTGGGGCTTTGCTTAGCAAAGAGCAAAATTTGTGTGCAGGCATAAGTCCGAAGTGTCACCAAAGCTGATTCCATTGCTCAAAACAATTCTATTGTTGTAAGCAATGTTTGTATTCAGTCTGGCAGACATCTGTTGAGCCAATGAGGAACATGCTTGGCTGCTGAGGTTGTTACTGATGTTCACAAATAATGTGGCACAATTTAAGAGGATCTATAGGGTGAAACAAGTCATGCATGGATCCAAAAATCACATATGCATTTTGGGTGGGTTTGTTTCACATCAGCTCTTGTTTGGTCTCAGATGAAAGCTCCAGTGAAGAATAAAAGTAGTTCTGACCTGAACTAAATCTGTAACATGGATGCATGCTTTGATTACTTGCCATGACAGAGCTCAGCTGTACAACACTCATTAACCAGTTCAGAAGAGTATTTGGCAGAGGAGAGGTTTTTCACAGGAATCACAGCAGGCCAGGAAAGTCTCAGATACTATATCCCTGTTACTACACAGAACTCCTCCCAGAAAAAGGCTTTCTATGGAACACTGCAGTCAGTTCCCACACTTGTACCCAAGGCAAGGGCAACTTCCCATCCAATAGCTGCTGATCTTCACCACCAATCTTCTCACTCCCGCCCTACCAACCAGCTTGCCTTCCTCTTTTCCCAGTACCAGATCCAAAAGGCAACTCTTCACACTTGGCAACTTGAGCCAACTAGAAAAAGAAAACCTACCCACTGCCAAGTTTAATCCCACACAGTCCCAGTCAGTTTCTCACATTCTTCTGCATTCACCTTGTAAGAGGCATTTTCCTCTCTTCTTAGCAATATCAGGATTTCAGAAGTGAGGAGAACCCAGTCACATTAACTTTGAATACTGAACTACCCTTTGTAGTAAAAGTGCTGAAGAGTGGGTCTTGTGAAAAAATATTGTTTTGACTTGGCTATAAATCCAAGTTCCTGAATCACTAGTTTTTATTCACCCTACTTGCTTCAGGATTTGCTGTGACAAGAATAGTGAATTCAAAAGAGAAGAAAAAAATTCTGATATATTAAGTGTTGTTTTCAGATTAGTTCATAGAGCAACTGGCTGAAAAGGTGTGTGGGGAGGGTTGTTCATTTCCCTTGAAGAATTACTTTCTGCTTGTAGGAAAGTGGCCAGCTGGGAAAAGGAAAGGGAAAGAAATATTTCATATGACCTTACAAATAAGCACTTCAAGTTCTGAGAGCATCTCTTCATTTTTGAAGGAGTGTCTGGATTTTACTTAAAAACTAGAAAGATTAAGGCAAATAATCTTACATTATCTCAAAGCTAAAGAAAAGTACTTCAACATCACTATTACCTTTTTTTTTGCTAAACCAAATACTGAGCTTGAATTAATGATTACAGGTCCTTGTGTATGAGACAGAAGCAAATAATTGAACATGACCATTAATATGTATTTCAAATTTTACTTTTTTAAACTGCAATTTAATTATAAAACAGTATTTATGTCCAGGTACACTTTCCATCTAAGAAACTAATTTTTATATATTTTATATATTATATATTTATATATTATATATTTTAATCAAAGTTATAATGAGAAGATAGAATCAGAATAAAAAACAACCACACCTTCCTAAAATCCAGTACTCAAATATGAGTGCATGTAAACATATGAGTGTTATGCTAGCTAGGTTTGTTCCTTAATTCACTATGGAGAAGTTTCCATGAGCAACGTCTCTTTCAAAATGAATATTTCTATCACAACCAGACTATACTAGTAGAAAATAATGTGTCAGGAAAATAAAAACTGTTGTAGGACAAAGACAAAGAGGACAAGACTTCACAGACTGAATGTGAGCAGGTGGGAAGAGAAAAGAAGGAAGAACATCCCACAAAGACAAATGAGCAGGAATATCAGACGCTGATCTGGTCAGTGGGGATGGGAAGTTGCAGGGCAGTGTTGAGCTTCTGAGAGGAAATGCCAAGGAAATGGAGAAACAAAGTGCTCCCAACATTGGACCTATGCAAAAGAGCTAGAAAATCTCCCAGGGGCACGAGGACTTGAGCAGTACAAATGCAGATAAAAAGGGTGAGAGATGGAAGATGAGGCACAAGTTTATTGCTATTTTACACAGTTTAATGCTCATCTTGCAACAGGTAGAACCAATCCCTATACTGCTATGTATCAACCATTCTTCCATCAGGATAACACCAATCATCTGCAGCTATCCAATATATTTACTCAGTCTTAGCCATATGTTCCTATGGCCTATGAGCGAAAACCAGAACAACTTCCTATCACAGCCCTGCTGAAATCCACTGAGTGAAAGCCAGACTGCCATACTTGGTGTGATACCACAGCAACTCAGAGTCCCCATCACGACTGAACTCTGAAAGTCCTTGAAAAAGTCTCACAAAACACAAGTATTGTGGCCCCATCAGCGTGGGAGATATAGGGACGCAAACAAATGTAAATACTCGTCTGAACAACAGAACGCAGGGGAAGAGACAGAGAAGAGACCCTTGGGTTCAGAAATGGATGCTGAAAACTAGGCAGGGAAATTCATCACAGCACTGGTCAAAATTGATCCGTTTTCCAGCTTTTGCATACTTCAGCCTCACGCTGTCTTTGCAAGCGCTAACACCCCAGTGCATAAGTGAATGCCTTTCCAAACACCAAACTCTGCTAGATGATGTTTTCCTTTCTGGGAACTTCAGGCATTTAGGACAAATAATGAGGTCATTGAATGAAACTAATGGAGATTTTTGGTATCTGTTATACATACAGTTACTTCTGAAAGTGTCTTTCAGATAGATCATTGTAATTGATTTTATGAAATTGCAGAGAAAGTTTGCTACAGGTTTTCTTTGATAAAAGGAAAAGAAAGAAAAGTTATGGAAGAAACAGCATTCCTATAATTTTCAGGATAGGGAAACAGTGAGACCAGGAGGGTGCTTGAGAGAATGGGCACTTGATAGCTGAACCAATGACCTGTCTGTTTTCATGAGGTCCTTGTTTTTAGTCTCCAAGAAGCAAGCTATCCAAACTGATTACCACTTGAATTACTTTGGGTATGAGTGTTAAGGTGTTATAGGGTGTGCAGACAGAGGTATGCATGCTTTGACACTATGTCTATTCTACCTGGAGGCAGTGAGTCACACATAGACAGAATTATCGAGCACACAGAAAGCATGAAGCAGCAGATTTTTCTTTTGAAAATCCAGTAATAAACTTTCTGTGATTGTTAAAATTATGTAACATCTGAATCACAGTTTTTCTTATGTGACTGCTATCAAATAATAATTTCATCATAAGCCTAAATGTTTTGAATCAAAAATCCCTTCTCTTAGAGACATATAGTTGTGAAAGCAAGCAATTAAAAAAGGTAATGAACTTCTTTTGTAACAGCTTCTCAAGGTTTGGTGTTGTGGTTTGTGGCTTTTTTTTTTTTGCCTTTTTTTTGTTGTTGTTTTATTTTTGTTTGTTTTTTTGTTTTTTGGGGGGTTTTTTGTGGTAGAGAAGTAGTTGAAAAGGTTAGTTCAATAAAGCCCAAATCCTCAAATACCAACAGTCATAAACAAAAATATCAATGGACTATTTTATGGACTCTTTTGAAGTCAGTCTTATAATTTGTAAACAGTTGAGAATAATATCAACACCAGAACAATCTTATTTCCTGGTTAGCATACTAGAATGATTAAATACTTTAGCCTGATTAAATAGTTTTAAGTGCAATATAGATGTTAAGACATTGGTTAACTACTGCTGCTTTCTTATAGAAAATTATTACTCTATACACAGCAAGTGCAAACCATGCTTCTCAGCACAAAGTCAAACCCTCAACACACACTCTATATCAAAAATGTTAATGCTGTTTTGAGAAATGCTTGAAACTATCTAGAAGGAATCTAATACCATGTCTTTCTTGTGTGTTCTCTTTCCCCTCATTATTAGGTATCAAACCTGCTCAAACAATGGGCTGGTGGCTGGTTTCCAGAGTCAGTATTTTCCATCAGTGCTGGACCGTGAATGGCAATTTTACTGCTGCCGCTATAGCCAGAGGTGCCCATATTCCTGCTGGTGAGTTCAAGCAGACACCAAACCTGTGATCTTCTTTCTCCCAACAGTCCTTATAAATGCCTTTGGCTGCTTGACCTGTCAGACACCTTGTCTGAAAAAGAGTTAACTGTGCTTTATGGAGCTAAGCCTGTTATTTCCAGTCTGCCACAGGATTATTAAGGATCCAAGGCTAGGGCAAAGAATAAGGTTGCAGTTACACTGAACAGCACAACATAGTAGCTGGCCCTCAATTAACAGGTCTGAGGATCAGCATCAGCCTGGCTGTGCTGGAAACCATGACAGAAGTCTCCAAAGTGGAGTGACATTTTCCTACTATAAATCCCGCACATTTACAGAAACATCTCTGTGCTACATATTTGTGCAACAATGACTTACAAGACTTAACATTTACCACTTACCTCAGAAAAAATATTAGTAGTGTTATAGGTAAAAATTGATCCAGTCAATTAGATCAAAAATAAAAATTAAATTTCTTCATGACCAATATACAGTCCTGACCACCAGCAATCAAAAAGTAGTGCCAACCCCGGGATCGGAGTGGGTGAATTATGATCCAGCCTCTATCACACCGAATCCCCCTGTTATAAGTTAAAATGAAAATATGCCCAATTATAATAAAAATATAAAAAGAATTTATTTTGCGACTGTAATACAGTCCGGACAGCCAACAATCAAACGTACAGCATAACACTCCCAGGGGGTAAGCTGGGTGAACGTGGAAAATGGTCTCTATCGCACCCAATCCCCCTCGTCCACATCGGCTACTCCGAGGCAGCGGTTCTTATACTCTTTAATTTGCCAGTGGCAGAGTCCCTTTTTTTCGTTCTGAGTTCTTCATATTCAATTTGGTTTCTTTCTTCGGTCTGGGCTGCACAAAGCCTTCGTCCGGGAATTGAATAATACACTTCCTCGATTTCCGATTTCCGGAATCTGGCATTTAGATGGCGGGTGTTGATGGCTCTGGTTATCTCAGATAGGTATCTTGTCCGGGCCATCATCTCTTGGGCGTCACTGGCCACATGCTTTCGTGAATGCCCATCTCCTGTGCAGCCAAGGTTTCCTTCCCGTGTAAATGTTGTGGTGCTTCTTTGTCCACCTGCCGCGGTTTCGCCATTCTGAGGATAAAAGATTCCTCCCTCTCCTTTCCCCTGTGTACCGTAGGTTCGTTTTTATATATATTGTAAAAATCATAGTCTTCTCTCTTAAAAACTACAAGTCTGTTTTATCATGGTTTTATGTCCATTCAATTACCAGCAAGAAAGGATGCCACTTTGTTTTCTGTCTGCTTATAATAAATTAGAGATACTTTTATACATATTCCTTTTATATAATTCTATCTGCATGAATTACTAACTATATCCATAACCCTCCTATTCACCACCAAGGCCTGGCACAGTTTGATTTTTATACTCTTTTTCTTGCCTGCAGCGGAGTCCCTTTGTCCCCTCCTGGAGTCCTCCATATTCATGCAGTGTCTATTCTCTGTCCTGTGCTAGACAAAGCCACATCCGGGCATTGATGTGTATCTGTCTCCAGTTCCCTGAATCCTTCATTCAGATGTATGTCCTTGATGGTCCTGTCTATCTGAGGTGGACATCTACATGGGCCATCATTGCTGGGCGTTTTCTCATTCATGCTATCAGGGAGTGCCCATCTCCTGTGCGGGCTAGGTTTTCTTAGTATGTTAATGATGCACCTGCTCCTCGGCTGTGAGTTGCCCTGTGTGGCAATCTCCCTCTCCCCTTTGCTGGCATAATCTTAAAGCTTTAATTTATATTACATTAATAATCTTCCATGTCCAGCATGAATTACCACCTTATTCATAACAGTAGTGCATATGACTATGCTTTCTCTCTCAAAAATGTTTAAAGATCAAAGTCAAAACGAGCTACTGATCATAAACCCAGAAGAAAAATGTGGTCTCAACAGAGCATCACAACTAGTACTGGCAACTTAATGGAGACTGTGAAAAAATGAGCTGCGCATCCCAAGCTTCCCAGTTTCTCTAAAACACACCATAGGTGTGGTTTCTCTAAATTAAAAACAAAGACAGGAGCAGATTTTGTAGAGGCAGCTTGTATTTCTCCTGTCCATTCTGTTCAAGAGAAGTCATCATTTTATGCTCCAGGGTTGCATTCAGCTTAAATTTAGCTATTTTCAGTGATAGAAAGAATAACCTGCCTACATTTAAGAAAAAAAATAAATAAAAAAGAAAGTAGAGGAAGAAAAAAGTAAACCTGTGCTTAACCCTTTTTTCCAGACCTCAGCTTTGAAGGAGGCTTCCTACTGAGATGCATACAAACTGTTTATGTGCCTGTTGGTCTTACTTGGCTCACTGGCTACTGGCCAAACACAACAGCACTGCCTTGCTCTTCATCCTTCAGTCTCCTTGCAGCCAGGAGGCAAATAAATGTTTTTATTATTATTATTTTTAATGCTTTTAAATTACAGGATCTCTGTAACAAAGTCTTTGAACATTCTTCTGAAATTTCTTCTCCTCCTTTCCAGCAGACTTTGGCTATGTATGTTCCCTACCTGATGGTTTATTTACACACCTGCCCAGGCTCTTCCCTCTGAGGGAAACTCACTCAGACTTTAAATCAGTTCTTTCAATCTCTTGTACTACTCTAATATTGCATACATTTTCAGAGAGACAACAGAAATCTCTGACTTTTTTTGTTATTGTTGACAGCTCTACTTCCCTCAGATGTTGTCTTGACAACTGGGAACAGCTTTGTGTCTGCTTTACAAGCTGGCATTCAGAGTAAGGCACATCCTGATGTAAATGTTTGGGGTTACTGGAGTCTTTAGTTTTAATCTCAGCTGCATACACACTCCTATACTGCCCTTCTATTTCCAACAGTGACAACACCATTTTTGTGCTTAGAAAGAAAGCCTTACGTAGTTCACCTGCGGTTCCATGCAGAAAAGGCAGCATTTCAAAAGCTGGTGAAGTGTTTTTCCCTGTAAGCAGGTAGAAATCCCATGTACTCATATTCTTCTGGGAGGAGAGAGCTGTAAAACTGGTAGGAAGCTGTGTCACCTGGCTTGTGAAAAGCTTCTGGTGTATAGTTTGTAATTATGGGTTCATTAAAAAAATTCTGCCTCTATAGTTAGCAAGGTGTATGTATATAAGCTCTTTCCACATGCAGTTATCTAAATTAGTATGTTAGGGTCTGGATGGACAGACAACTAGATGAGTTAAAATATAACAGTTTAACAGGCTCAGAGGGCAGTGGTTAAAGGGTGATATCCCACCTGGGTGCCTGTCCTGCTTAATATCTCTATCAATGACCTTGAGGAGGCAACAGAGCACATGCTGGCCAAGTTTGCATATGACACCAGACTTGGGGGTGCAGCTGACATGCCTGAGGGCAGGACTGCCAGTTCAGTGTGATGTAAAGAAAACTGCTTCTTCTATGAGGATCGATTTCCCATTGAGGCTCCTTGGAGGCTTTCAAGACTGAACCAAATAAAAGCTGAGCAGCCTGGTCTGACCCTGTGGTTGACCTTGTTTGGAGCAGAGGGCTGTCACAGAGACTTTTTGAAGTCCTTTTCCACCAGAACTATCCTGGGGTCCCACATAGGAGGACTTTTTTACTGGAGGACCCACACCATGCAGATGAAGTCTCTCCTCCAAAACAGTGGTCTCTTTTCTATCATCTGCTTGGAATGGTTTCTTTTCTGGTTCACTCTCTTTCCCTGCTTAGATGGTGTAGTAGGACTCTGGGCAAGTACTGGTTGTTATGGCAACATATAGCCAACATTAACTTCACCAGGGTAGTGTGAAACCCCATGTTTGGATTCACTTTTACTCATGAAGTCACAGACATGACTTGTCTGAGTTATTAAATTTCAGTGTACTGAAACCAAATTTCCTGTCTCCTAAGCTCAGGAGATCTCACTCACAACATAACTTTCATTAGCATTTCCAAATTATTGTCACAAGACTTTGTTCACACATCATGCTTCTGGTCTGTATCCCGCACTAGTTAACAGGCACTTGACAGGAAGAATATGTTTTCCAAACAAACTGCAAAGTAGTTCTGGGCTACCATGAGTAAGACCTCACATTGTATAGGCATGTGAGACACAACAAAAATGTGTGTGTATAGTGTATCATTATTTATTACAGTTTCTGCCCCAAAAAATAATAGTATTTGTTCTGTTCCAGGAACTTGTTGTAAATAAAGTAACCGTGGAGAATTGGCAATCAACATGCTGCTGACTCCTATTGTTTGGCTGGAGACGCTTATTTTCATGCAAAGGCATACAATATACTATTTCATTAGTATATGACTATGTGGAAAAGTAATACCAGGAAAGTATGCTATGATGGTGGTACTTTGTGGATCATACATTATATAGGAAAATCTATATTCAAAGAATATCCACACTGCACAATTTCTCAGCAGCCTTGACTTCTAATGTGCAATGTATCCTTAAGTATGAAACCAGATGTGGGCAGAAATGCATTTTTAAGAAAACTGACAATATTGAAGTGTGACAAAACTCTGTTTCAAATTAGCTCTCACCTTGGGTATTTGATTCCATCCTCTTCCAGTTGTCTCCATACAGGCCTCTCTGGTACATATAAAAGCAGTAAACCAGCTGATCCTCATGCATGGTTTCTCTTGTCTCTTCTGCTTCAGGACTACATTCTTCCTGAAATGAGATGACCCTACAATAAATAATGACAGGTTTTTCTTATGTGCATGAGCCATGCAACAGGTTTGTTAGAATTTGCCCTGGCTTTTACACCTAGAATATCCCCGTGTTTTTTGAAAACTGCTAGTATTTGTTGTAATACTAATTTATAACATCATCATGCTGAGTGAAACCAACGCTTTGCTTTCACTTTGCTTAAAAGAATGACTGAAGTCAAATACATGCAGAAGGACTTTATATGTTAGCAGATATATTCTTACTCTTTGAACCCAGTAGTTCTGTTTCACAGCTCATCCTCTCACCATTAATTCCCAGATTTCTTCTGCAGTAAG